GGGAAAGAGGAGGATGTTAAAGATCCCCTGCTCTAAGGTGCTTTGTGAAATAACAGTCAATATTTGTGTGAAATGGAGCTAGAGAGAAAACATTTTCCTGCAGAGTACTGGAGGGAGATCCCTGAGCAGGTGCAGTGAAGAAATTGCCTTTGCAAAGCTGTAATGAGACCTGCTGCTTCGTTGTCTTCCTCTGGAGCCCTAGCACTGGTGTCTCCAAAGGTCCCCATGGCGCAAACCGGCTCCGCATTCACCTATGGGGAGCGGGGAAGGTGCCCCTGAATCTTGCTCCATTTCTCTTTAAAAAAATTAACAGGAGGACATATAATTCTTGGGGACACACCTCTCCCACAAAGAGCCATGTCTGCTGGAACTACCCAAGAAGGAAACAAAAACTCAGCTCACACTTTTCATCTGTAATATAAATATTAAGATTTTTTGAATGCTTTGTGTAAGCCTTTACCTGCAGGATTACGAATGATTAAATATAAATTATTAACTACGTCACCATCTCCAAAGCTGGAGAGCGGGGGTTTCTCAGGAAATGGGACTGTTTGGTGGGCAGCAGGGTGGCATGGCACCAGGACAGTAGCAGCATCGTGACTCTCCAGGTCAAATGGGCCTTTCACCAGCACGGCGTGGGGGCGGCCGCAGCGCTGCGTGATGCAGCACCGCGGATGGGGCTTCGCCCGCGGAAAGGTGCCCTTGTTTCGGTCACCGCCAGTCTTCCCTTTGGTGCAATCACAAGAAAGGGGGATACAACAGAAAAAAAAAGACAATAAATTAATAAACAAGCCCACCCCCAGAATAGCTATTAATTCTTTAAAGAAAAAATACTTTATTCATTAAAAGTAAAACTTGGGTCTGATTCTACGTTTGCTCATAAAATTACCTTGGCCCCGTGGTCGAAAATAAAATCATATCAAATCTGAAAATTTGTGCAACGATGCAGGGCAGAAATTGAAACTAAATGCATTATATTGCAGAAAGGACAGGCAAAAATGCAAATCACTATGTGTGCTCAGGACACTCTCTTTACGAATCTGAATGAGAAATCTTAGCATTTTGCATGATAAATTTATCTTTTTTGCGACCAAATTTCTTTTTTAAAAAAAAAAATTTAATATTATTATTAACTTTTTTTTTGTCCGTGGCTTCCAATTGCAATTTGCCATAACTCGTGTGTGGAAATTGTTCCACCGAGTGTTCCGAATGACAGGCTTGATGCTAAGAGCAAATGCGCTGGGGCTGAAAAAAAATATTTTCTTAGCCCCATAAAATTTGAGAAACGCTACTTTGAAAATCTGGTGTTTCCTTTCACAAATAGCACAGCTTTATTTGAATTTTGCTCGTTAATCATTAGGAAATTTGTCGCCCATTGACTGCATTTAGATGAACAAGGACATGCAGGCTTGGGTGATAAGAGAACCGGCCCAAAACGTCCTTGGTTGGTAAAAATCCACTGCTTTGGGGCGGTGGGAAGCTGCCTCCTCTCTTTCCTGCTCTTGCCCTGTGCGCGGCGCGTAGCGGGCGGCGGGTGCGGGCAGCAACCTCCGCGGAGCAGCGGCCGGAGGGGGATGAAGCCGCCTCCTCCTCTGCCTCTCGCTGGCCCCTGGCGCTGCGGGTCGGGCCGCTCCAGGGGCTGCGGGGCGCCCCGTCCGCGCCGTCGATGCTGCCGGAGACAAAACCGGGGGCAGATTCCGAGTCTCCCCATTGAGAAGTCTGGCGCACAGCATCCCCTCGGCAGCTCCCGCCACTGTTTTGTTTCGGATCTGGTTGTGGCACTTTGTTGTATTTGATTCCTGCTTATTTAATTTTCTCATGCCGTTTTAGGCCGTAGCTGTAATAGCTCGTTTCCCCTGCGCAGAATGCCCTGTTGCTGCCGTCGCCTCGATCGGGAAGGTTTTCCGCAGTGCGCGATAGGGGGTACGAAGCGGGAGGAAGGGCCGGAGGGGTTCCAGGCGTCTGGCGGTGGGAGTGGGTTTCTCACGCTTCCCCAGCAAACGAGCTCTGCTCCGCGCTACGCCAAACCAGAAAAAAAAAAAAAAAAAAAAAAAAAAAAAAAAAAAAAAAAAAAACAAGAAGGACACACTCCCCCGAACAACCCCAA